TGCTGAAAGTAGGTTTCTGGCCTTTGCTTACAATGTTGCGAATCTGCTGGCTGAAGTCTGGTGGTATTTGTTACAAAGTTTCTTAAACTTCAGGCTCAGAGGCCTGCAGCCGCAGGCGGGAAACGTTGGTTTCCTCCGTCACTGAGGCAAGCAAGCCTTTTGTTAGTTTCAAGCTGCCTGGCTGCCGGCTGCCATCTTGGCTGTCAGTTAATTTGCATATCTCGCTGATTAGCCAATGGGAAGGGTAGCAGTTGTATGCCAATTATATACCATATTTCGCTTTTATTAGTGTAGATTTGTAAAAATGATACTTATCTCTTAAGATTGTTGTGAGGATTAAAAAAGTAAATACATAGAAAATACGTAGAATAGTGCCTGACTCATAGTATGCAGTCAATAAATATTCAGATGCTGCTTCTGGTTTCTTTTTTACTTGCTGTGAGACTTTTGGCTGGTACTTAACCTCTCTAAATTCTGTTTCTTCACCTGTAAAATATTTACTTCATCAATCACTGTGAGGAGGAACAGACAGCATGTATAAAAGAGCACAGATGTGAACTCAAGACGGTGATGCTGCTGACAGTGCTATAAACGCCTCAGTTCCACAAATTAGAATGAGCAAACTAGCAACGTTTAGTTTCCAGTAGCAGAGTATTTAAGAAAACTACAGTTTTTTTCTATCATTAAATCCCAACCTTTACTTTTCAGACAGTGTTAAAACAAGTTATCGAAGATGGTTCAAAATATGGATTAAAAAGTGAGCTTTTCTCTGGTCTTCCCCAGAAGAAGATTGTGGTTGAATTCAGGTCAGTGCCTATTCTTCTTATGTGTTTGTTAATCAATTAGCTGATCAGATGAGTGTTTTACTATTTATAATAATAAAAGCGTAATATTCTAATTAGACCGGACGTCCTTCTGGACAACCTTTGGGACGAAGCAGGGCTGCTAGGGAAGCCTGGATCCCGGGTGCCTGCAGCGGACAGAGGAAAGCCTGGGTCCCGGGTGCCAGAAGGAAGCTGGTGCTGGCAGCCGAGGGAAGGAAGGCCTACTCTTGCACAAATTTTGTGCATCCAGCCACTAGTTACCGTATAAGGGCTCACGAAATTAACGTCTTTAAATTGATGCAAAACACAGCACCTTCTTCTCTAGTGATACATTTCAGTACTAACTATATTACTCACGCTCCTTGCTGTTACCTAACCAATAGTAAAGGAAAATCAGTAGGGAGGTGGTACAATATCTGTTCCCATGCATACATCCTTGAAATAATGCCACTGTAAGTTTCTTGAAACTTGAACTGTTGCCACCAGGGCTCACTCCTAACACCTTTCTCATTTTCACTTCACTGTTACCATCTCTCCTCCCCAACTAAGCTCAAAATACCAAAACCTTAGTCTTCCTTACTCACTGATTCTCTGGCTTTTCTCCTCAGTTTTCATTTCCTATATACAATCAAACCTCGGTTCTCTAACATCTCCCATCTCAAATAATTCGCCTCTCGACCCAACACCCTTCATGCTTATACCTGTATGATCAGTCACATCTCTCTAGGGCGACAGAGGAAAGAATGTGCGAGTATGAGTCAGTTTACTACTAAACCTCACATTGTTAACATCCCCGGAAAGTATGCTGTGAATATTTGTGTGTGTATGTGTTTGGTGTTTGTTTGTTTTTTGCTTTTGTTACTGCTTATTTTATTAAATTTTCATTTTTTACTGTACATTTTATGTCCTTTTATTAAATTTTCATTTATATTTCATGTCCTTTTTGTTTTTAAAATATTTATTTATAGATTAAATAGTACCTGAGACATGTTCTATATATAAGAAAGGTTAAAAAAGGGAGTCATTTGGGAGTCTGGAACAGATTAATTCAATTTACATTACTTCTAATGGGAAATAATGATTCAGTTTTCGAACAGCCTTCCGGAGTTAAGTTCAAGGCCTGAGGTTCCATTGTACTGCTCTTTTTGTTTATGCTTGTAAGAAATGTCTAAAAATAACCTGTTCTATTTGAGTTGTATTCTGTAGGCTTTTTCTCTGGTGTTATTTGCCTATGGATTTGTCCCTCTCAACTTTTTTTCTATAGCAGTTACGGAGAGCTGGAACTTAAACGAGCATCTGAATGCTGATGAAGGCAGGGTTTCTTTCCCAGCAGCCATCTTTGCTCTCTGGCATTGCTGTGGGATGACCATAGCTGCCCCTCCCTTAGAAGTTTTCTAATTACTGTGGGGCTTACCATTGTGGTTTCAAAGTAGAGACAAACAGGTGGGGGATGGGGCAAAATTGATAGAAAACATTATTCTTGAATTTCTCCTGAAAATGAGAGATGACTGAAGAGAATGTTTTAAATATGTACTATCTTAAGTAAACCAGGCAACTTTCCCCACAAAAGCAAGAGATATAATCACTGTGCTCAAGAAACTTGCTCCTTGCATAAAGATGTTGATGATAATAGGTCAGCTAACTTGCTTAGGGACATAGCGCTGATTCTGAAGCCTACATATATAACCTTTACTGCCTCCCTGATACAGTGTTGATTGTCATAATATTTTGTCAGATGTCGGAGCAATGTGATGAAGTACTAGAGTAGATAACTGTACCTGGTAGGTGGTGTAAAACTTACAGATAACTACTATTGCCTCTCCTCTCTGCAAAGTCAGCCTTTCCTATTTTGTTCAGATCAAACCTGCAGGAGCACAGTCAGCAGTTTCCTCAACGTAGTCTTCTCCCACCCTCTGCTGTTCCCAGTCTGAAGTGTTCTCAGAGAACAGATTGAGGACCTCTGATTGGTAAAATGAGAATCCAAAAGATGAGAGTACCAGTTCTGACTGTTAGTAACTGATTTGGTGATCTCAGATGAGACCGCTTTTTTTCCTTGGTCTCTTCTTGTCTGGAAAATAAGAGCAATAATATTTGTCTTTTCTTACAAAATTGAGAAAGTTACATGAAATAATTATTTATAAGTCCCAATAAGTTGTCCAAACTATAATTCATTCATTGCAGCTACTTTGGTTGCCAAAGGAGTTGAATTTGTATTTTCCATTTTATTGATTCCCTTCCCAGTAGGAATATGGTAACAGAGAATGGCAAGCTGATGATTTCAAGTGATCTTTTATCAAGGCTAAAGACCTACATAGATTGAGTTCTTCTAATCCTAAGGGAAAAAATATAAAAGCTCTGTGAAAGCAAAAAAACAAAAAACAAAAAAACTCCTCATAATATAAATACCTAGTTTGAAAAAAATCAAAGATTGCAAAAGGATACTCAGTGAAAAGCAAGTCTCCTCCCCATCCAGTTTCCTGGTTCTCTCCTTTGGGCAGTCACTAATACTACTTTCTTATTTATCCAACTAGAAATAGTCTTTGCATTTATAAACAGATCTCACACATTATATATTGTTCTCCTTGCTTTTTTTCCCCACAAAACAATGTATCTTATGTTCCTTTAATATCAGAACATCCAGGGCCGTTTGTAATTTTTATTGTTTCATAGTAGTCTGTTGATTTTTTAAAAATCATCTTTATTGAGGTACAATTACATACTATACAATACAGTTCACCATATTTCAACATATAATTTGATGAGTTTCGGTAAAGATGTACAGTTCATGTAACTACCACTACACTTATGGTATAGAACATTGTCTGTCTTTATCTGTTTCATTGATTTTTGCTTTTATTTGTCTCGTTCTGTTTTATTTTGCTTTCTTTGGTTCTCTTTTTCTAGTTTCTTAAAGGAAAATCTTAGATTATTGATTGGAAACCTTTTTTCTTTTCTATATAAACATTTTGTGCTATGAGCTTTTCTGCTTTAGCTCATAGAGTTGCTTTTAAGGCAGTCCTAGGGATCACCTTGTTCTCATTCTCACAGGATCACAGATCTTACACAGTTTCATAAAACCAGTGTTTTATGTATGTTTCTGGTTTCCCAGTCAATTTACTTTTTTAGTATTGAAAAACTTGTGAAAATTTCAAACATATACAAAACAAAGGAGTGTAAGGAAATCCCATGTGCTCAGCACTAAGATTCAAGTCATCAACATATTGCCACATTTGTTTTATCTCTTTTTCCTTGTTGTCTCAGTTCCCTCAGCTGTAGAATAAGAGTACCTTACTTCACACCTCTCATGAGCATTAATTGAGTTAATGCATAAAACTGCCTGTCAGGTAGTGAGTGCCTTAGAAGCACTTGTAGTGTTAAATGATTGATTAAAACTTCTCAAAACACACAGAGTAGTGATAAAGGTGATGACTGAGAATTTTAAGTGGTGAATCGGATTTCTGATTATTCTGGGAAGCTTAATGCATGAATAATTTTATATTTTAATTTCTGATCCAGTAAATATTGATAGATATTACCATACAGAGTAAATTTCTTTGGGGTCCTGAATTTTAAAAGGATTAAGGATTTGTTAACTGGTGCACTAAATTTAATTCCCTATAGTCAACATTGTGTCAAAACAATATCTCTGAATTTCTTCATCTTTTTTTGAATCCTTAAATGTATCTGCGTTTTCCTCAGTTTGCCACTTCTGTGTATGGTACAGCCTCATGAATCACAGGGTCATTTTCACTACACATGATTCTTTGAGTTCTAATTTATCTCTGCTCTAAATTTGTAATTTTTAACTTATCTTTGCCCTAAATTACCAAAGGCCTTAGTCCCCAATGGTATTGAACTATGGAGGCATGACCTAGTTCACTTTAGAACCTTTGTTCTTAGCACAAAAATATAACTTTTGCAATTATTTGCAGTTCACCTAACGTTGCCAAAAAATTTCACGTTGGACATTTGCGTTCTACCATCATAGGTAAGTATCATTTCACAGAAAATATTAAACAAGTCTTTGGGGTACATTTGATAATACTGTCTAATGGTTTAATGCTTAAATAGCAATAGGACATAAAGGTCAAATTTATATGAGCCTGGTGCTCATTAAATATTACATGAAATGGGAAAAACTGGTTTAGAAGTGGAAAAAAGAAATTTGTTTCAAAACTTCAAGATTAACTCAGGAAACAGTTTTAACTGAAATGTTTGTTATGATTTTAACTTTTAAAAAATATGTATGCATATGGAGAAAATATGAAAATAGTTATGTGAAGATGATAGTAATCTCCCCAATTTTTTTGTTTGTGTATTTTGTTTTAAAAAAGAAACTGTTTCCTGGCAGGCCTGGCTCAGTGGCTGAGCGTTGACCTATGAACCAGGCAGTCACAGTTCAATTTCCCCCATCAGGATGCCCAGGTTACAGGCTCGATCCCCAGTAAGGGGTGTGCAGGAGGCAGCAGATCAATGATTCTCTCTCATCACTGATGCTTCTATCTAGTCTATGGGTGAGGAAATGCAGATACCAAAAATAACTTTTCCAAAATCACATAGCTAGCTAAGTATCATAGCCAGGGTTGGAAATTAGACAATCGGTTCCAAAAGCCTAGGTTCAGTCTTTCAGTTGGATTTGTAACGTAATAAGGCATTAAGAAAAAATAGGAATACAGTCTGAGTACCACCTGAAGAGGTGGCTCCTGTTCCTGGGACTCTATAGTTTGGGAAGACCTCGAAATAGGGAAGCTGCAGTAATTTAAGTCAGATACACATATAGGTGAGGGATTATTTGCAGAAAACTGGATCTACTCTAGTAAAAGCAGGAAGGGATTTACTACAGGATATTGATTAATTTACAAAGTTGTTGCGAGTGCTGAAGAAGCTTTGGATTAAGCTGGCAAAAATTACTCCTAAAACTATACCATGAGCTTGGTCATCAAGGAGCATCTCCCTTTTCTGCAATCACTTCCACTACTTTAGAATCATGCTGCTACTGCCGTAGTCAGGAAACTCCACTAGTCCCGCCTTGCCTTCTAGAATTCATACTAGCAAAAGAGGCAGCCCCATTCATTCTCAGTCTTTCAGTTAGTTACCTTGGAGGATACATGGTAGGACACCAGCCCTCTATTTGTGATCACATACACACAAGCCCCACAACTATGTTTGTCAGAAATAATAGAAGTAGTTCCCCTTCCACCTTCTGAATCTCATGCAAAGTATATCTGATTGGCTAAAGCTAAATTACTTCTGGAACTTTAACTGCAAGAGATTCTTTCTGGGAAATGTAATTTTTAGGTTTCCAGCCTCTGCAGTATGTTGAGTGCACACTAGAAGGAAAGTGGAATAGATGTTGAATATCAAACCAGTATTGGCCGTTCCGGGAAACCTTGGACTGCTGTGTGCTGTTAGGGAGCAGGCATGAGAAGATGGACTTCAGTGATTGAAGGAAGTTAAAGTGAGCTATTTAAAACTAAAACCAGTATGGCTCAGGTTCTGTAGGGCACAGCCAAATTATTGCTTACTAATTACTAAAACAGTATTATTTTCTGCCCTTGGGATTAACTTGGAGTAGCAATTACTCTATCGTGTTCCCAACTCCCATTAATGTTAATGAAAATTCTGTTCTTATGAAAGTTAGGGGATTTCTTGTAATAACCACCCGCCCAATAATGCCTTACTTTCATAGATGAAAACACAATAATGAAAGTTTTACTAAAAAACAAAACAAAAAAACTGAGCTGGTAAATTTTGCCAAAAGAATTTTCTGTGTTATATTTTGATAATAGAGAAGCACACGATTCCTATGCCAAAATGTTTAACAAGAATGAGAAACTGTATATTTTATCATTACTAGGAAATTTCATAGCAAATCTCAAAGAAGCTTTAGGACATCAAGTAACGAGAATAAATTACCTTGGAGATTGGGGTATGCAGTTTGGTAAGTAAGTTCAAGATTTTATTTTTCATTTCACTGTTAAATTTAATATATTTTAATATCATGTCACTTGGTCATCTGCACAGAATATAAGCAGAATCCCATTAGATAAAATAGTACCTCCT